CTGACCTGGGCTCTGTGGCCTTTGGGGTTTAGCCCAGAGACTAGAAAGAAGATGTGTGTGGGGGTAGGATTGTGGAGAGTCTGCCTCAGAAGGACCAGTTTTAGAGGCCACAGGGAGGACTCTCCTGCGTCCCCAGGTGCTGAACACCTCTGCCTCCGTGGAGCTCCTGCCGCTTCTGGTGGTGAGCGGCTACCATGCCTATCTCCCTACAGGTCGCTTGCCCACTGGGTAAGAGCCAGGAGCACCCCAATGTCCACCTCTCCGACTTCATCACTCTCTGTCCCTTCTGTTTTCCTCCCTCCTACCAGATCTGATTTCCTCTGTCCCACTCCACCTCTCTCCTTCTTATCCCTGACCTTGACCTTGCAGAGCACTTCTGAAATGCTGGGACAAACAGAAGTTTGCTCTTGCGGGAAGGATTGTGTGTGTGTGTGTGTGCAGTCTGGGTGGCACTGGAAGATGAATGAGAAGTAGAATTATCTACTAAAGAGTGAAAACCTGGGGTCTGGGAACTTCCTGGGGAGTCCTGGGATGGGTTCCAGGGGCTCTGAGATGGGAATGAGTCTGCAGCCTCCTTCAGAGTCCCTGGGCTCTGCGATCTGACCTTAGGGGAGTCCTTGGTTTGGACTACATACATGATAACGATGTTCAGCTTAGGGTGACACCTTTACCATGCGCCTCATGTACCATGAAGGGCCCGAGATCTGGAAGACCACCTCTAGGGAATTCAAATTCTAAAGAACTCAGTATGCAAAGTTAGGTGGATCAAAGACTTCATCCTGTGTGGGTAGATCAGAGATGACTAACACTTCACATTGTATAGAATTTTTATCAGGGACTAAGTTTCAGAATCGGGGCTCCAGGGAGTTTCAGGCATTGGGTATGGCTTGCCAAGTTCACAAACATCTCCTTCCCAGTTCAGGAGATTTGAGATCCCTTTATTTGCAGACAATGCTTTCATTTAGCAATGCAGAGCTGGCTAAAAATGTCCCGTGAGAGGGCTGACACAATGAAATTCTTGCTAAAGTGTAAACAACTGATATGAGCTGTTTCTTAACAGTTGTGGTTATGGAAGGGGCAAAGCTAGATCACCAAAGCTGAAGATGCCTTGGCAGTGACATGTCCCCGCCCTGGCATCTGCTTTCTTTTGGGCCTCCTTCAATAGCAGCCTCCTCCAGGGGCTTGAGGATGGTCTTTTTCCTTCTCTTCTTCTGTGTAGCTGAGTTGTAACCTACCAGTGGTCCCAGGATGCCAGGTCACTGACTGTAGTGGTGGACAGGGCTGACCACAGCCCCTGACTAATGCTCTGCCACCACCTTGTGCCCATACATGTTCCAGCAAAGTCTTTTTCTGTGTCCTATGCCTTTCTCTTCTAGTATCATCTCAGCCAGAGTTGGAGGTCTTAGTTCATATTCCCAAGCAGAGGCTGGGTCTGGTGAAAAGAGGGTCTCGCATAGAGGAAACTCTGAGCCTAAAATTCCTCCGAGTGCACCAGTCCGACACCTTCACAGTGACAGAGAGCAGGGATTTTGTGGTGGTCAGCATCCCAGCAGCTGCACTGCTCCAGGTCCAGGTCAGTGTCCTGTGGCACCATGGTCCTGCCCCATCTGAGGCCCCTTCTTTGGGCCACTTAACACATGAGGAGTCAGAAATGTAGAGAACAGCCAGGACCAGAAGCTACACCTGTAATCCGGCTACTCAAAAGGCAGAGATCAAGAGGATCCAGGTTCAAAGCCAGCCAGGTAAATTGTTCAAGAGGACCCACATCTTGAAAAAAACCCATCACAAAAAAAGGGCTGGTGGAGAGGCTCAAGGTGTAGGCCCGGAGTTCAAGACCCCACTACCACAAAACAAATGAACAAAAATTTAGAGAGCAGATCTGTGGGTCTGGCTGGAAGTGAATTTCCCACTTACGACCTTGAGCCCAGTACTGTTGCACAGGTAACTCCATGGTAGGACAGCCACCGGCCATAGAAGACACCTCCATGTTCCTAATTCCTTTTTGCCTCACAGCCATGCCAGGAGCCCCGAGGAGCCCAGGGATGCAAACTTTTTATAAGTAGACCTGACCTGGGATTTGCTGAGATGCCTCCCCAGTGCTCTGGACGGTGGAGAACTTCTTCCAGTGTGTGGGTAAGTGAGGCGTCCTCAGACAGGCACAATGCCACACGAGACCCCTTTCCCTGGCTTGGAATTCTGTCTTCTGTGATGCTGTTTCATTCTCCGGATTGAGAATCCACATCCAACACAGTGTGGATGGAGCTAGCATGGGAACAGGAGTGGTGACAAGGTTCCTAGCTCTGGAGTCAAGTTGTGGGATGCAGGATGGAAGAGGGGGAGGGCATATCCACTTCTTAGCTGGCCATGGCTACTCGAAACTTCCTTTGTGTTGTTCAGCCTCAGTTTTTTTTTTTTTCATCTGGAAAATGAGAACTCCAGTGGCTGCCATGAGGACTGGATGACAAGATGGAGTTGGTGACTTGGGAGGAGGCCTGGCACAAGATGAGCCATTTCTGTTTTGATCTGTTCAGCTGTTTCTGTGTGGGCTCCAGTTCCTCAGGTCACTTAATACATTGCTTCTTGGCACAGAGCCCAGCATGATGCAACACCATTCTTAACCCAAGGGGATCCTTCTTCTAAACATGGTGTGTGTGCTTTGTGCCAGGATGCTGGGACTTTGTCTTGAAAGGGGTTTTCAGTGAAAGGCCAGCTACCAGACAACCTGGTATTCACACATGCAAAACCACCAGGAGCAAAACCCATTCAAATACAGCACAAGGAAATACACATAATTCACAAATGATGTCGATCACTTTCATCTTGTATTTCCTAGCTGTCCTCAATAGAAGACAGACGCGAAGGAGATTTAACTCAGATGTTATTAGCACAAGAACGCCCTGTTACCAGGATATGATGTTTCGGTGCTGCATAAAAATGTAATTATATTCAGAACTATATTTAAAGATTAAAAGGGGGGGACTGCCTACCACATCTAGCCCCCAATTCAGAATTAGAAACAAAGAAAAAGGCGGGATGGTGGGAACGAGTTCTGACAGTTGGCTAAAAATGGAAATATTTCTTGAAAGTTTTTTACACATTTCGGCTGTTTTTGTTTTAAGTTTCCTGTGGTGATGACTTTGAGTTTGGAAAGGGAGGGTAGAACTTTATCTGACAGATACTCACTAAGCACTTGCCACTTGAGGTGAGGATGGGAGCAGAGGCCATCAAATGGGGTCCCTGCTTCCCACTAGTGTCCAGTCTGGAAGGAGAGATAAGACATGTTTAGAGAGCTGCAATGGATGGAAGGCAGGTGGACTTGAGGGAAAAAATCAAGTATGAGTTGATTTCTGTCCTAGGCGCTGAAGAGTGCATAGTTCATAGGGAGATAGTGAATAAAAGACAAAAATAGCAACAGCCATAAAAACATTTTAGGAAGATTTTTTGGCCTCCCTGGAAAGATTTACACAGGGAAAGAATGTTCCCTTTCTTGTTTTATTAGTTTAATATCAGCAGCTGGAATGAATCTCTCTTCTTTCCCGGTCCCCAGCGCACCTTCCCTGCACCTCCCTGCAGCTCCTAGGTCTTTCTGCTCTTATTACATTCCTGGTGCCTGCTCTTGTCTCTCCCCCCGCCGCCTCCCCCCACCCCCGCCCACCCCCAGTCTGAATGCCTGGAGAGCAGGCTCTGTGTCTTGTGTGCGATTTTTTATTCTTCAAGGGCCTTATCATACTGCCTTGCCCTTGGTAAACTCTTAGTAAGTGCTTGTTGGACTGAGTTTCCACCAGGAATTTTTACATTCTGCTTTAGATAATGAACTTTTTTTTTCCAGTTGTAAATATGTGACTAATGAGTTGGAATATGAATGGATTGCCTAAGTGCCCCGTGGTTACAGACTTTTTTATATCCCCCGCTCCCCAAAGTGTTAGAACCAATAGGACACACCATAATTACTTCAGCCGATGGCGATGGCTGTTAACCATGGAGGAAATGACCATCCGCCTGGAGAAGAGAAACCTAGGAGGTGGGGTGGGCTGCGGGGTGTTTAGCTGTACTTGTCTTCACATCTTAAACTGGGGGAAGGGATCCCTCCGGATGGAAAGGCCTCTGGGGTCAGGCAGGGAGTGTTAATGAGTGTGGGTTAGGAAGCTCAGCATTCAGGGGAAGGAGAATAAAGCAGCAAAGCAAGTATACATGGATAAAGAGTGAGTGTGGAGACTTCTGTGAAACCTCTGAAGAGAACGCCCTTGTGGGTGCCTATGTGGTAGGTTCCTGCCTTGTAGGGAGGCAGGCCAGTGTGGTCAAAGCTTTTGGTTTTCCATGAGAAGCTGGTTATATAAAAATTGCTTAAAAAATTTTGCCAGTTGCCACACCTATAATCCTAACACTTGGGAGGCTGAGGCAGGAAGATCATGAGTTTGAGGCCAGCCTGGGCTACATAGTGAGTCCCTGTCTCAAAAAAGCATCTTTGTTGGTTAATTTAAATACATATTTTAAACACCCTACAGACTAAATTGAACATGTGTAAGGGCAACCTTGAACTCATGGGCTAGAATTTGCAAGGTCTAACCAGAGGTTCTCAAAGAGGGGTGACTTTTACTTCCCAGAGGACACTTAGCAAAGTCCAGAAAATTTTTGGTTGCTACAAAGCAGAAGGATGCTACCAGCATGTGGTGGGTAGTGGCCAGGGAAGCTGCTAAACAGCTTACAATGCACAGGACACCTCTCCATACATGACAAAGAGTGCTCTGGCCAGGAACGTCAGTGGAGCCTGACCGAGGCTAACCTAGGGTAGTTGGGTGCTGCCCCATTCTGTTTGAGATCTGGAACTGGGCCACTGCGCTGGATCTCATTCAAGCTGAGATAGTGAGTCAGGCTAGCTGGTCTTTGCAGAAACCTAAGTTTCTGTGATTTAATTTTTAAAATTGTATCTTCTGCCCACATAGTCTCTGCAGGTTGGAGGTCTGTGAAATTCAGCCATGAAGACAGCTCTTAAACCCGAGCTTGAGTTTGACCTCTAGGCTTCCCTTCTCCACCTGTAGAAAAGGGGACACTTATGGTCCCTACAGCAGGTGTCAGGAGGATTTTGTTTCCATAGGAGGAAGCTGACCTTTGTCTTTTTTCTAGAAGGTTCAGGAACTGAGTCACCTGCTTCAACAGCCACACTGAGGACCACTCCATCCTTCCCATCCCCAGGACCAGGGACAGGAATGCCAGCTGCTGCCTCGTCTCACTTCCACAATGCACAGCTGGCTGCCTGGGAAGGGCCCTCTTGGGGCTTTGTGAACAAGCCCTCGGAGAGGCCACTTAAGGCAAGTCTGTGGTTCTGTCCTTTGGCCATGGTTTCCTTCCAAGGATGTGATCCCCATGAGGCATCACTGTTCTTTCAAGGACAGCCTCACTCTGATCCTTCTGCCATGTCTCCTCCTCAAACTCAGAAAGTTCCCCAAGAAAGCTGGGACCTCAAGAGCTCCCACCTATGGCAGACCTCTCTTGTCTGTTCTACTTGGCTCATAGTCTCTCTGTGACTTGAGACACTGCAAAGGAGGTGGCAGATAGGGTCAGCAGCTGTGCCCACAAACACGGGAAGGAAACTAAAGACTGGCAGTCTAGCAACCTGGCCCGAGGTCACAGCTCCCTGGACGCTTCTCTGGGTGGGATCCTCGTAGCGCCCAGAGACAGAGCCTTCTGTTTCTGATGCCATTTCTCTCCCACTGCTGCCTTCCTCCCACAGGAACGTGGACCATCCCTGCAAACAACCAGACCTACAGGAGGAAGCTGGGCATCCACTGCCTCCCTTTTCCCCAGAGCAACGCAAGATTGGCATGGTGGTCCCCAGACTTCCCTGGGGAAAATGGCATTACCGCCACCTTCCCTGACTTCAGCCACACTCTCCTCAGAGCCCACGGGAGCTGCCCAGGCTGGCCCCAGGCCCTCACATCCAGTGTTCCCGGATCCCACTGTCCTGACTACGCCTTTGTCCTCAGAAGTCTCCTCTCCTCCAAGGCTTCCCTGGAGATTTGACTGTTCCAAAGTGTTCCTGAGCACAGGGCCATCTGTCATTCTTACTAAAGGCCCAGGAACTATGAGGTCTGAGCAGGATCCTGCCAAGTTACCAGAAAGTCCCCTTTTGCTAGGGGATGTGCCCACAATTGAGCCCATTCAGGGGGAGCCTGACCAGGCCAGTGAGGAGTTCCAGCCATCAGTGAGGCCCTCCGTGACCAGCCTGACTGAAGAGGCATTGTTTTCCCACCGTCCCTTGGGAATACCCGAGGAATATCGCTTATAACTGAGCCTGTAGGACCACCCCAAAGTGACCATGGCCTCCCCGAGGAGGGGACCAGAGGGCACCTGGACCTTTCAACCCCAGAACCAAGTCAGGTCATGGAGGGGCTGGGCTTCACCATCTTGCTGGGGTCAGATGCCATATTCACCACCCCAAGAGGTAGGCAACCAGATGCCAGTGCCAATCTGATGACCTCAGGACCAGAGTCCCTTGGAGACAGTGTGGGCCCCGTAGGCCTCCTGACAGCTTTCCCAGAGAGCCCTGTGCTTCCTACCTCCAAGAAGCCTGCAGTTTCATCTACAGGAGGGTCAAATAGAGTCCCAGACACAGAATCAGCCCCCAAGTGGCCCATGGGCTTGCCTGAGCTGGGGGCTGCACACACATCCAGCCCTCTATCTTCACCCACTCTGAGCCTTCGGGCTCCTGCAGAAATCACGTTGTCCAGCCCAGCTGAGCCTGGAAGCCCTTTTCTTGCTGGTCAGGGGGCCTCATCCCAGCAGGAGCCAACAGAGACCATGTTGGCTACCAGCCTGGAGAGTACTAGACCTCTCGAGCTTTGGTAAATTGTGGAGGGGCCTCTGAGAGGCTCCCGTGCTGGGCCTCAGTGGAGACTGTGAGAGTGAGCCCTGGGAGTGCACTGTGTGTGTGTGTGTGGGGGGGACACGCCAAGGAATGAGGGGACAGTGTCTGGGTTGCTTGGACCTCCCAGCAGGAAGGGGAGCTGTGCGCAGGACGACAGGCCTTGTCGTATTGGAGCTGGCCCAGCCACATTTCTGTGCTTCCTCTCGTTGTCAAAGGGGGTGAGGCACTGAGGTAGGGCACAGGTTCTGTGGGCAGGCTTACCAGGGTCTGGTGTTCCTGTCCTGGTAATGTGACCTTGGCAAACATCCCTGAGCCTCAGTTTCCTGATTAGTCAAATAGAAAAGACACTAGTTCCTCCCCAACAGGGCTGTTGAGGGGTGAGTGAGGAACCGATTTAAAGCCGTTAGTGCGGAGCCCTCTGCTAGTGCAGTGGGGGCCACTCTGTGGTTATTGTGGGCAGACAAATCAGAGCAGCCAAACTGTGCACCTCCCCTCCTCAGAAATTGGAGGAGGGAAGGGTGTCATGACCCCTCCCTGGAGCCTCAAGGGGCCAAGACCCCAGGTCCCTAAAGGACCCCAGGGTAGGAGAGCAGGAGGGGAGAGAAGAGGGGAGGAGGATGCCACTGTTTTGCTTTGTACTCACCACTCCCTCTGGTTTCCATGGCAGCAGCTGGTACCCTGCTGCTGGCTTGGGCAACCCCAGTGACCTCCGGTGACCCAGTGCTCCCAGGTTCCCTGGTCCAGAAGCCCAGCTGTGGCTAGGTGTAGTGGCCTGGGCTGGAACCACACTCAGTGCTTCCCTGGAAGGGTGGCACCCCACCCCCTCCAGACCGACCCATGGCTGGAAGTGGGATTTGAAACACAGCCAAGAGGAGGCTGTCAGCAACGCCCGCCAGCCCGGAACGCAACTAAATAAATAAATAAATAATCAGGGTTGTCTTGGCTGATAAACGGTCCCTATCTCGAAGACGACTTCTCCCCCTGTGCGCCCCCCGCCTTCCTCTTTCTCTGGGCAGATCCATCCCAGGCAAAAGCTTAATAGCCCCATTTAAGGCTTTTCCTTTTCACCACGGAATTGAGCTGCTTCTGCCATTACGAGGTTTTCAGCTTCTCTCTGAAATCAAATTACTGACTCCATTTAATTTTTTTAAAAGCTCAGATGATTTTCCTTCTTGAATCAGAGCCGTGACTCCAAGGCCCACCCCCACCTCCACCCTACCCCCCATCAGGCGGTCCCCTTGTGGGCAGCTGCTACCCACAGATGGCAGCCCCCCATGCCAGGGCAAGCCTGACACCTAGAGGGGAAGCCAGCAGCAGGAGACCCAGCCCTCTGGGCACTGCCTGGACACCTGACTGGGTGGCCTCTGTCCCCAGGTCTTTGTCTAGGTCTCGGAGGCTAGAAGACCTTTTGATGCTGATGAACTCAGTGATTAGAGCCCAGCCTGATGCAGTGAGACCCCCACAGCCTTCCTCAGTGTGTGTCCGAGACCCCACCACTTGACAGATGTTTATGGAGCAACTCCTCTGTGCCAGGCACTGTTCCAGCTCTGGGGAGGCCCCTGGGACAGAGAAAGTCCATGTGGGAGGGAACATTCTAGCCACACACACACACAGGCGCTTGAAGACTGTGATAAACAGTGCTGCTGAGTGCTCTGAAGAGAACCAAGCCAGCAGCTCAGGAGAGGGGGCTGGCCGTGTTCCAGCTGCTTTGGGTGGGAAGGTCAGGGCACCAGAAGGAGGAAATAAGGAGGCAACCTGAAAAAGAGTTGGAGGAGTCGGGCTTGGTGATGCATTCCTGTAATCCGTGCACTCAGGAGAATGAGGCAGGAAGGCCTCAAGTTCAAGGTCAGCCTGGGCTACATAGCCAGACTATGTCTCAAAAAAAAAAAAAAATGCTGGGTGAGACATCAGGGCAAAAGAACAGAAAGTAGGGCCCTGAGGTGGGTTGGGGAGAAGGGCAGTGTGAGAGGCTGAGAGTAGATGTCAGTAGAGTAGGGACCAGAGCAGCAGCAAAGAGGTTTGGGATGGGTGCAGGACCCACCTGGCCCACTAGAAGGAAAGGTGACTCCCAGGGTCCCTGTCCATGCTGAGCCACTGTCTGGATCTGATGACGCAGGAGACATGGCTGCCGGGTGCTATTGGAAACACAACACATCTTCTATCTTGACCTTGACCCCTGTGTTTCTACCAGGAATCACTTTCTGCCTCTCTGTCTCTTCCCCCATTCGCCCCTTTTCCCCTTCTCCATTCTTGCAGGTCACCAGCTTTGGGACATTGTAGATCAGGGGTGCGTACACCAGGAAGTCTCCTAAACCAGGGCTAACCCTTTGCCAAGTCCGCCCATCTTTAACCACCCTGTGTCGTTGGAGACAAGATGAAGGGAATGCAGTTAATGAAATCACCAGGCTCTACCTGGCATAAATGGCTCCTCACCCACAGGGATCTGCAGGGCGGAGGATCTAGCCATTAACTCTTCTTGGGGCTCTTCCCAGCCTGGCACTCTGTGCAGCTGGAACAACCACCAAATCCCTCTTCCTTCCCCTTGCCTCTCGTGAGTGCTCAGGGTTCTGGGGAGGATCTCTTGTTCTCCCTGGAGATATGAGAACCCCAGTTCTGTAACCTGGCTACAGGCCATCAGGGCCTGATCCTTGGGCCCATCAGACATGTGCTTGAGTGTTATCCTGCCTTGGGGACATCTAGTTTTCCTGTTGAGACCTCCCAGGTCTTGTAGTCATCTGACATGCCTGCGTGCAGTGACATCCAGGCAACAATGACTCGATCTTCTCCTGGAAGCCAGTTGCAACTGGGTGGGGTCTTAGATGGCTTGTGCTATTTGGGGTGGTTTAATATTATTGGAAGCTCTGCATCCTCCGAGCTTGGATTCTCGTTTTTACTTCTGTGACTGTGAGCAAAGTCCAGGGCTGTGATGCATTCGTTGAGTCTCTCCTGCCCCATGCCCGTGAAGCAGCCGATGTGAGGGCAGTGCCCTTCTGGATTTTCCTTGAGCTCCAAGCCTGTTTTCACACTTGCAGGATCCTGGCTCATTGCTTTTCCTTGTCGAAGGTCAGATTTCAGATGCTTCCCATGACAGACTTCACATCACAACATTCTTTCTGCCCTGGCAGCAAGTCTCTGTTGGGTATTTGAATATTACTTAAACTGGAATTGTAGTTATCAAGTCAGTAATTCTCCAAATTACTGCGTAACCAGAGAGATGGCATGGTGGAAAGACCTTTCTTCAGGTGTCAGGAGACCAGATCTGCCCCGCCCATGACAAGCAACCTGGGCGAGTCAGTTCAGTTTCTGGGCCTAAATAAGAACTGGGCCATTTGGAAGCAGGAAGACCAGGAAACTGGAGATGTAAATGAAGCCACTCAAGAGAGTCCATGTCACAGGTGTGGTCTCAGGGCCTGCAGACTGCTTGAGAAGTCAGGTCACACCAGGCAGGAGGACAAAATGGCCCATATGTACAGAAGCAAAGGCTACCTTGCTCTACAGGTGACTTCCCACCACTTCCTCTTTCCTCTCCCCAGGCCCAGGCTGAATCATCCCATATCCCAGATCTCAGAGCCCTCAGAACAGCGGTTTTCACGGGGGCACCCCACGACCAGCAGCATCAGCATCTCCTGGAAACTTGGTAGAAATGCAAAATTTTGAGCTGTGGGTGTAGCTCAGAGTTAGAGAACTTGTCTAGGTACAAAAAGAAATGTAAATTCTGGCCGTCACCGATGGCTCATGCCTGTAATCCTAGCTACTCAGGAGGTCGAGATTGAGAGGATCACAGATGGAAGCCAGCCTGGGAAAATAGCTCACTAGACCCCATCTCCAAAAGTAACCAGAGCAAAATGAACTGGAGGTGTGGCTCAAGTGGTAGAGTGCCTGACTGCAAGCACTGAGTTCAAACCTCAGTCCCACCAAAGAAAAAAATAAAAGACTGTAAATTATTGGACTCTACCCTAGACTGACAGATCAAGAAAAAACTCAGAGTGGGGTCTAGCAGTCTGCATTTTATTCCACAATAAATTTCAATATATTCCTCTCCACGTGGAGAAGGGCTGCCTGGGAGAGCATGCCTGGCACCCCCTAAGTGAGAGAACTCCCCCCACTCCCATAAGAAAGGCAACACTTGACATTCATTCAGTTTCCAAAGACTTGCCACCTCCACCTTCTCACTGCACCCAACGTCATCCCTTTGAGGAAGAAAGGATTGCTCTTCCCATTTTACAGATGAGGAAATCGAGGCTCAGAGTCTTGCACAAGGTCACACAGCTAGCAGGTAGCAGCGGGACTGTTCATTCTCAGACAAGGGCTGCCTCCTGGACACCCTGGGTTTCCAGGGATCCTCAGACCAAAGGAGTAAATGCACATCCATTGGCCAGAAAGGCGATCCCCCTTTCCAGCTCTCTCCCCAGTTTCCAGTTGCAACTGTAAGCAAGCACATCCAGGAAGCATAAATTTTGCCTGGCAGTTGAGTAAGAGCTCTGAAAGGAGCTACACGTCAGGGAGATGGGACTTTATTTCTCAATGAAATAGCCTTTTTATGGCTGGAATAAAAGTGCCAGGGGGAGCCTAATGCCAGGAAGTAGCAAGCACATTTGATAAACTCCTTCAGCGGGGCGGGGCTGCAGGGGAGGTGGCGACTAGACAGCAGCCCCACATTTCCAGATGCATGTTTCTCACATTAGAGTGCGGAAGATCCTGGGGTGGGGGTGGGGGCTCGTGGACCACCCAGCTGGAGTAGGGCTAACATAACACCTGGACCACCAGGTCCTAGGAGCAGAGCTGCAGTGCAGAGAGTGGGCAGCAGGGGGCAGCAGAACACACTATTCTAGCCCAACCTGTGGGTGCTGTGGAGGGGGCTTTGGGGTGGGGGGGTCTCTTACGTGCAACCCTCAGAGGAGGCCAGGACACCCTTCCTCTCTTTTCAGCCCTTCCCACCCCAACCCCTTCACAGCAGGGGATAATTTGCCATCCTCGCTCTGGTGGCAGCCTCTACCCCATCCAAATCATAATGGTGGGGGGTGGGTGGTTTCTCCCCCTCTTACCCACCCTCCTCTGGCCAGTTTCTCAAGCTTCCTCAGGCTTTGCTTTGCATCTGATGAACCCTTGACTTCCTTCTAAGGGGACTTTTGGGGGTCTCTGTGCATATACGTGGGAAGGTGGCCTTTATGGACAGGCATCCCTGCTTTCATAGTCTCTGGGGGCACGAGAAAATCCTGAAGGACAAAGAGAAAGAGAGAAAACTTCCTCATTTGAGAATGCGCGTGATTGGCAGGTTTATGGCCTCGGGAAGGTGCGTGGTATTCTGCACAATCAAGTCATTTTTAAAAATAATCTCCCTGCTTAAGTCGTACACGCTGCTAATTGCATTTTAATAAGTCTCTTAAAATCTTGCCATATTTTTTAATATCCTAATATTAGGTAAGTGATTGCGGGGGACACTGGAGGGCATGGGGAAGTTTATGTAACGGAGGGAGGGCTGTAATGAAACTGGGGGTGGCGGGCGTATGTGTGTGCAAAGTGTCTGTGTTTGGGTGACGCGTGTGGGATAGGGATGGCGTGAGTGTGTGTCCATGTGGGAATGTATATGGGGAAAGCGTCCATCAACAGGGCTTGCCCTGTCCACAGCCTTGGAGTGCAGCCTCAGGACAAGCAGTTCCCACCAGTTAGAGGCAGCAATCCCTTAGGACCTCTGCCTAGGTCCTCTAGCTGTGATGGAAAGACAGACACCCGCCTCCCTTTTCTCCCCAGACCCAAACTAGAACATCTGAGCCACCTCTGGCCCAGTTCATCCTCTCTTTCTTTTCTAAGAGCAAAGGTCTAAAATCCAGAGAGAGGCTGTGACTTGGCCAAGGCCACAGAGCAAGCAAGAAGCAACCAGCTTCCTCCTCCTCCTTCCAGCCAGGGCGCTGGCCACACCTTCCCTTGGCCCACCATC